AGGCCTAGCTGTTGGCCCGCGTAGGCCATCACAGTCTCGATCCCCGGCCTTGTTGTTTATTGCTGTGTGGGTGGCATGGCAAGCTATGCCAAGTCTCTCCGGCCCCATTAGTCCTGCTGGGTAGGGCTCATCTATTCCTGGGTCACGATCAGGCAGGATGCTCATGCACGGAGTACAAGAAGCTGGGCATTGTCCGCGGCAATTGACCAATTTTCTTTGTTCTTCTGCCTCTTTCTTCTCACGACTCTCCCTTTGATCAGCCAACAGTCCAGCCTCTCACTCGGTTTAGAGAGAGCGCGCGGGCCTGATACGCTGACTGCCAACTCTTTTGTTGCTGCTTGCCTTGGCGAGAGCCACAAAGACCGCAGCCATGAAACCTTTTCCGGCAGCCTCGCTGCTGTCGATCTCTCTACTATCTTTAAAACCGTGTCACGCACAGATCCTCCAAAAGCGGGCTCTTATTGCGCCAGCTTCGTTGGACAATGGCTGGGCATATCAGGGATGCTACATGTAAGGCGTTCTTTCTGCTTCTCTTGGCAAACTCTAAGCTTGCATATATGCTGATCAGAGCAAATAGCGATGTTGGACGGACGATTGGTGCAGCGTCCACCACTGATGCTGACATGACTAACGAAGAATGCACGAGTTACTGCTTCGGATTGGGCTTCCCTTATGCTGGAACAGAGTACTATACCCAATGCTACTGCGGCTCCAGTCTTGCAACGGGCGGCACAAATGCCACGGTCACGGACTGCAATACTCCATGTGGCGGCAACTCGACTGAGGCATGCGGTGGCCCCAATCGTCTCACTTTGTACAAGTCATCCAAAGTTACTGGTCCCCAGGTCAATCCAGGCCCCAATGGATGGGTATCCCAGGGGTGCTATGCGTAAGTTTCCAATACGAGATACTCACTTCTGAGCTTGTAGCTTAGATTAGCTTTGCTGACATATGACTGGCAGCGAGGGCACCACTGGTCGTGCATTGACATACCAACTCGGCAGCGTAGCTAATGCAAAGATGACCGTGGCCGCCTGTACATCAGGATGTAAGGCAGCGGGATATACCTTTGCTGGTGTTGAATTCGGTGGAGAGTGCTGTAAGTGGCCCCCAATTCCTCCTGAACGGACCATATGAGAGGCAGTGTGACTCTTTGCTTTGTTTCGTTTCATTCCTTTTTTCTCCGCTTCCAGTTAGCTGACCAGTTGAGCATCGATTCCGACGTGCAGACTGCGGCAAGTCTCTCTCCAATGGTGCCAAGCCAGCTGCAAGTGGCTGCACGATGACCTGCAATGGCAACAGTACCGAGTACTGTGGAGGACCAAGCTTGCTGAACCTTTACACCTATGGCTCCGGCTCCGGCTCCAGCTCCAGCTCCAGCAGGTAAGCACAGACATAATCTGGTGAAAGAAAGAAGCTAGGACTGCGGTGATGATCATCTCGTATTGGAGTGATGCTAACATGGATGGTGCAGCTCCGGGACTGCCACCACTGCTGCAGGTCAACCCGCGCAAACGGGTTCCTGTCCTGCCCAGCCCGCCTTGGTCGGCAAATACAACTGGTACGGCTGCTATACTGAGGGCACATCGGCTCGGGCTCTTGCAGCCACGACGTATTCCGATGATGCCATGACTCTAGAGAGCTGTGCTACCTTCTGTGCGGCTTACACTTACTTTGGCGTCGAATACAGCAGAGAATGCTATTGCGGCAACTCCTTTAGTGCCGGCTCCAAGCTCACTACGTCATCAGACTGCAGCATGACCTGTGCTGGCGGTGACTGTGAGCTTTGCGGTGCTGGAAATCGTCTGTCCGTCTATTCGCGCAACGCCCCGGGCTCGGGTAGCTCCTCGGGATCATCTCCTCCGTCAGGCACCACCACTTCAGCCACTCAGCAACCAACGGGTCTTCCGCAGGGATGGAAGAGCTATGGCTGCTATGTGGACGGCGTCAATGGCCGCATTCTTAATGCGCAGAACCCCGACGACCCTAACCTGACCCTCGAGTCCTGCGCCGCGTCCTGCGCTTCTCAAAACTATACCATCGCCGGTGCCGAGTACTCCAAGCAGTGCTTCTGCGGCAACAGCATCGTCAACGGCGGCGTCCAGGCCAATTCCTCCACAGAGTGCAACACTCCCTGCGCCGGCGACTCATCCGAAATCTGCGGTGGCGGCGGCAGAATGTCCATCATCTCCAAGGGAACACCGGCCGTCCTGGCACCTCCGGCACCAGTGCCGGTGGTGGGCAACTGGACGTACCAAGGCTGCTATGAGGATAATCTCAATCAGGTGCACACCTTCTTCTGGCAGAACATTTTCGCCAACACCATGACCCCTGAGATGTGCCTCAACGCCTGTGGTGAGTACGGCTACATGGCTGCCGGCTTAGAGTATGGCCAAGAGTGCTACTGTGGTGACCCGCAGAACATCAAGACGGCTGGTTCGACCAAGAGGCCTGAATCCGAGTGCAATGTTCCCTGTCCGGGCAATGGCTCGGCCATCTGCGGCGGCGGTTCCCGCCTCACGACTTACTTCTACACCGGAACCCCATTCTACTCTTGGGGCTTCCCTGCAGCGGGCTCCGCGGCGGCTGGTTCTTATGAGCAGCTAATGGGTGGCGTCTGTGTGCCTCTGATGGTAACCCAAGCCGTCACCGGCAAGGTCGTCTTCCTCGAGAAATGGGGTACTGGTGAACCCAACTCCACTGGTGCCTATGAGCTTGATTTGAGTCTTACCAACCAGTATAAGCTTGCTTGGAGAGAGATGCACGTCAAGACCGACATCTTCTGCTCTGCAGGTGTCACTCTCCCTGATAAGGCTGGTCGACAGCTCAATGTAGGAGGATGGTCTGGCGACTCTACCTACGGTGTCCGTTTGTATACCCCAGATGGTTCCGCTGGCGTCAACGGCACCAATGACTGGCAGGAGAATGTTGATGTTTTGAAACTCCAAGACGGTCGCTGGTACCCAACTGCCATGAACATGGCTAACGGCTCTGTTCTCGTCGTTGGAGGCGAAGAGGGTTCTAACGGCGCTCCTATTCCGACCCTCGAGATTCTTCCATACACTGGTACGGCGCCTCTCTACATGGACTGGCTCGAACGCACCGATCCGAACAATCTGTATCCCTTCTGCAGCGTTCTTCCCTCCAAAGGCATCTTTGTAGCCTACTGGAACGAGGCTCGCATTTTGGATGAAAACACCTTTGCCACCATCAAGGTCTTGCCCAACATTCCCGGCGCAGTCAACAATCCCATGGCCGGACGAACATATCCCCTTGAGGGATCTGCTGTTTTGCTGCCCATGCACGCTCCTTTCACAGAGCCTCTCGGTGTCCTTATCTGCGGTGGCTCTTCCGAGGGTGCCTCTTATGCTCTGGATAACTGCGTGAGCACCTATCCCGATGTCGAGAATGCGACATGGGCAATTGAGCGTATGCCTTCTCAGCGTGTCATCTCCTGCATGGCTCCTCTTCCCGACGGAACCTATCTCATCCTCAATGGTGCTCACCATGGTGTTGCTGGATTCGGTCTCGCCGACAGCCCCAACCTGAATGCCCTGCTTTACGACCCCCAGAAGCCACTAGGCCACCGCATCACCGTCATGGCAAACACCACCGTGGCTCGCATGTACCACTCCGAGGCCATCACCCTTCTCGACGGTCGCGTGCTCGTCTCCGGCTCAGATCCCCAAGATAGCGTCAATCCCGAAGAGTACCGTATCGAGTCCTTCACCCCGCCTTACCTTAAGAGCGGCAAGCCTCGTCCTTCATTCACCCTCACCAACAAAGACTGGAGCTACGGCCAAACCATCACCGTCAAACTTGGCGGCCCTGCTCAAAACGGTGCTATCCAAGCCACTCTGCTTGGCTCTGTTACCAGCACCCACGGCAACTCCATGGGAGCGCGTACCCTCTTCCTCGACATCTCTTGCGCTGGCACTACTTGCACCGTTACTGCTCCTCCCAGCCAGTACATTGCCCCTCCTACCTGGTATATGCTCTTTATCCTGGACGGAGGTATCCCGGCTGTGGGCGTGTACGTCCGCGTTGGCGGCGACCCAGGCCAGATTGGTAACTGGCCTAAGGCCTCTGGTTTCTCCGTCCCAGGTGTCTAAGTCATGACGTTATGTTTGTTTTTTTGAGAGCGATATTTCTTATTTGCGTGTGATGTAGTTAGTGTTCTCTTGATGTATTATTGCTTTTGGTAGAAATTGGTTAGCGAACGATCTTGTTATGCTTGATCTGGATATAAAGGCAAGCTCATGATAAACAAGCGGAAGAAAGGAAACAGGCCATAGAGAGCAAGGTATCAATAGTTAAGAATATTACTATACAAGGCGTGGTGTCTATTCACCTGGTATCATTTTTATTTCCGTCATCAAGTGGACACATGGTCTCAGTGAAGTCGTATTTCCTGATTTCAGGCGCTCAATGCTGTTCTCAATCGACGGTCAAGGAGCTGATATTCTTATTCTTATGAGAATCGTTCATTTCGTTTTCTTATATTGTTTTCAATATTCCTTGCCATGTAGGTCAGCCCATTGTGTGTTCAACGTAGAATTTGTTTCTGGCTTACCATAAACCAATGTTTGAAATGGTCATTTCATACGGTGGCATGGGTCTGCGATTTGGCGTAGTGGTTCATCTGCGTTCACCCAATAGATATTTTTTTCGCAGATCTGTCAATTCTTATAGCCAAGTTGAATAGAGATGTAAGATTGACCTTGTATAATTCACAACATGGAAAAAATCATCTTTGTGATCAAACACTAGAAGCAATTGAGGTTTCCAGCTTGTAGTGCACGCTGTTGCTGTTGCTGGAGCTGGGGGCACGTGACATCGCAACTACCACTTCGGCGTCCAAATTTTGGCCGACAAGGGTAAATCAACGCCGCTGACAAGAACGAGATTGGAGTCTTTTTGCGTCCCAGCATCCTCCAAAGCGCCGCAACGACAATCCGTGCCCTCCCACGTTCTTAAACATCTCTCGACAATCATTCAAAATGGCTGCGCTCGCTAAGGCTATCAACGCCAAGATCAGGTCCAACCCGATGTTGAGCTATGTCTGCACAACTCGTACGTACTAGCCTACCCAATATCCTCGCGCTGAAGCTACGAAAGGCGCCTGAGCGCGACTGAGGGAACTTTTGCTATGATACTGTCCGCTCAAGCGTTTATTATCTTGTTCCTTGTGTTCTTTCCCCGGAATCTTTGCGCCTCTTGCTCAAGACGCGGCCTTTGTGGCCAGAAGCTGGCGCGCTTATTGGATCCAACGTCTATACCTGGAGCCAGAAGCTAACAAAGTGTCGCAAACAGACTTTTGGGGACCTGTTTCCAACTTTGGAATTCCCATTGCTGCTGTGCTGGATACCCAGAAGAGCCCTGATCTGTAAGAAGCTATCCCCCAAACTCCGAGCTGCATCCCCGCCGATACCGGCCGACGGCTTACCTTTTTTCTCTCGTTTCTCTATATAGGATCTCCGGACAGATGACCGCCGCCCTTACCGTCTACTCCTTGACCTTTATGCGATACGCTCTTGCTGTCTCCCCCAAGAACTACCTCCTGTTCGGATGCCACGTTGTCAACTCATGCGCTCAGCTCACCCAGGGCTACCGATTCCTGTCATACCACAAATGGGGTGGAAAGGAGAAGGCGGCTCTGAACGCTTTGGATAAGGGTGCCGAGGCTGGCAAGGAGTCAGCACCTAGCAAATAAATCAACTTGGGAAGAACAAGAAGTTGTTGCGCAAAATGGAACTAGGACGCTTAAGGTGTGGACAAAAGTCGTTGGGATAAGAAGAGGGACGATGAACACTGCGGTAGATCAAAGTCGAAAGGAAAGTTCATCCGAAGTGAGGCCAAAGTCTCAAGACTAGAGGATTTCGATGGCTTGTGTAGGTTCATCCACGTCCGCTGGAGCTTGCAGCTGCTGTGTCATACATTTTTACATCTCCGAGCCATTTCATAGACGGGATTTGAAGCTTCAGGTATATGGACAAATAATAATAGCTTGGGAGATTCATTTACACCTAACAACTGGATTATCGCCGTATTGTCGGGATTATCGTCGTATCGTCGGGAACACCAAATTTTTCAGTCTGTAAGCAGCCCATTCACAATGCAGGTGCAGCAGTAATGATAGGTCGTTTTCATCCAGGTGACAGGAAGTATCACCACAATGGCAACGCGAATTGTCAAGCCAGAGCCTCGGTCTCTATCCACTCTTGATAGGCCAGTATTTAGACAGGGACTCTCTGAGCTTTACGTCATGCGGGCCAAGCCATAACCATATTGATCAATCTAGAAATAGTAATTATGAAGACGCGATTCAGGGACGACGTGCCATCGACGGCAGTCGTTGAGTAGACTGCCGAGGTTTTCCTCTAGTAGCCGGGGTAAAGTTGACAAACCATTAGATATTGCGTAGTAGCGTAATATCAACAAGCCTGAGATGGCAACATCTTCTCGCAGCCGAGGATAACCCAAAAAAACTTCATACTAACAAGGATGAGAATAGTTGCATATTATTTTATCAATCAAGCTCTCAGAGAGTATCTCAAAGCGAAGAGGACTAAGACTCATTTCATAACGAAGAAATATCGGCGAATTGGACTACTAGAGTGTTTAATGGTCCAAATCACAGCTTACAGGACCCCTGCCCCGGCCGGTGTCGGAGAAAGGTCATTTTGGTGCATACTGGCAAATGACACATCGTCCAAAAAGAGTAATATCACAAGAGACCGGACCAAACATGGGAATAAAGATGGAAGGCAAGGCGGATGACTGCAATTTCGCTGGATTGGTGCGATAACAGTAATTCGAGCGAGATAGTCAGGCACACTATTTCGTAAGTGGCGTGCGAGAGCCGGAGGTGATGGAAGGCGAAGAAAAATCCTCTGCTAAACCGGCGGATCTCTGGCTCATCACAACCCCATCCAGATTCAAGCAAAAACCAATAAGCCGACTGAGGGCGCCATACGCTATCCAGGGAGAGCCCAGCGCTAGATGGCGATGAGCGCGCGATATAGAGTAAAGTGTGAGAAATAGTGCCAGTCGGCTTGAGGCGCCGAGCTCGAGCTAGGCGGGGTGCCCAAATTCATCAGCACCCAAGTTTGGGGGGCCCTTCCAGATCTTAGCTCGCCCAATCTCGAGTTACACACTTGCACACGGAGTACATCTGCAAGATGAGCCGCCATTGCCAGATCGGCCTTGCACGCCAGCTGGGAAAATACTGGGGTCACAGATGCGACGGATCCGTCTTCGGATCCAGCAACACCCTCGGGCCGGCGATACGAAGACCAATTACGTTACGGGCCCCTTCCTCCGAGCCGAGAAACGACACCATCAGATTCAGCACGGCCATGGCCGGCCCACGAGGTGCTGCAACGGATGACCATCACGTGGAAACGGCGAGAATGATCGGACTCGACGAATTGAAGCCGTGTCGAGATATTCCGAGTGAGCCCTGCTTCATGGTGTTTTGATGCTGTCATCAGCCGCATCTAGGCGAACCTCGCAGGCAAAAGTGCTCTGATCCTCGGTTATGGCACCAGCCCTCGCCTCTCTCACTGAGCACAAGACGAGAGGAGGGGTGTTTCATGGACCAAAGGCCAAGGCGGGATTGGTAAGACGCGGCGAGGGGATCTAGTTCGCGCGCATGGGGTAATGGAGTGCATGTAATGCAAGGCAAGGCATGATTCAGATCTCGTTAGGTGCCTGCTTTGCGGATTATGCATCGTGTTAGAGGATAGCAATTGGCGGTAAGCAGTTCTGGCCCCGGGGGAAATGCAATTGATGGCAGTCCATCCTCCAGATTGGGCGACAACTGCGGCTGATATTATGCCTCAGGAGCTAAAGAGAGCTCCTCGATGCAGGAGCCTGGTGGGTACAGGTCTCGGAAGCCCGCTATGCCATTACACGGCGTCCATTCCAAAGAGCCAGCGAAGAAGGAAAAGGGCCAAGACATCCCGCTCTTGGAACGAAGCTTAATATAACAGCGCCAAACTTGTAAGAGGCTGCGTTATCTTGAGCCGCTGATTGGCCGAAAGAGAAGGCTCCGCCCGTTTAAGCTGGTATCAACGAGCTAATGGTGATACATGGTAACAATCGACTTTAGCCCCCCAAATAGCGGGTGTAAAATCTGGTATGTAATGGAATGACTTTCTGGATGGCAACACGGCCTAGCCGGTACTTGATAAGCATTTGTGACTGTTTGTACGTAGTAAAAAGAGCAACAAAGAAAAATGGAAAGAAGAAGCAATAATAATCAATTTCCAAGACAAATTGGCTGCAGTAAAAGTAACTTTTTGGTTGGCTGGCTGAGCGCAGAGTCCTTTTTATAGAACGAGCTTCCCCTCTTGCTTATTGCAGCCAAACCGCAGTCCACCAAACACAAAGTGTCTCAACTAGCTGCTACCTAGTGCTATATAGTCGTCGTACTGCGTTAACAGAAGCGATCTATTTCTGCTGTCTCACCGACTGGGCATCAGCTGACGAGACCAGAGATGCTGGGGGAAGATCTTCCATCTAGCCTCATGTACAAGGACCTCTGCGCCGCCATGTTGGTCCATTTTGCCTCAACGCCGTAGCCGCCGTATTCCACGCCGCCAATCCCGGTGCTTCAGGGCAGAGCACATAATGCAGCGAGTAACGCAAAGATGCATCTGCCTGTGTCCATGTGTCCATGTGGCACACCAGGGTGGGCATGTGTCACAACTCAGGCTCGGCAGAGGGGGATAGACGTGCGCCCAGAGACAAGATTGAGCGTGTAGCCCGGTCCACTCTCGCAGCTCCTCGCACTCTCTCGGAGATTTTCTCTGCCGTCGTGCTGGATTCGAGAAGAGAATGAAAATAGCTCCTTTCTTTTCTTTCCAGCTCCCATCTCTCTCTTGCTTGCACCTTCCTTTGTGCAGCTTCTGCCAACAGCGGCCATTGCCGGTCCTGATTGCTGAGCCGAGCAGACGAAAGAAGCACACAGTACAAGTCGAGATGGCCGGGCAGTATAAGACGCAGTCAAGCAGCCGACATGAACCATTCCTGCCTGTTACATGCCTATTGCCTCAGTACCTGTAGCTAGTGCCTGCACTGTCACAAGCGCTGGACGCAACTGCTAGCACCTGCTAACCTCCCTAAACGCAGCACCCCACCCCCCACCTTCGACAGCTGCCCCGCCGTCAATTCCTGCCCCCCCATCCGTCCATCTTGGCCGAGCTTCTGCTGCTTCATAAAAGGCAGCGCATCCGGCCGTCTCCCTCAGGCTCTCTTCTGTGCTGAGCTGCTCTCCTTTTGTCTCTCCCATATCCCTGAGTCGAGCATATATCTTCACTTTGTCTGCTCGAGCCCGTCTTGCCCGTCATGGCAGGCACTCCAGTCCCTCACCCGCAGCAGGCGCTGACCTTCACTGATGTCTTCGACGAGGAGGATGTCGATGAGCCCAAGGAGGCGCAGACCATCCACCACATCCGTGCCAATTCCAGCATCATGAATTTCAAGAAGATCCTTGGTGAGTCGCTACGTCTGAGGCATTTATCGGAGCCAATTGGCGCGGAACAAGTCACAGAAGAGAGCGGTTTTACTGACTCTTGGCTGCTACGCTGAACAGTTGCCAACCGTGGTGAAATCCGTAAGTCGAAACAACCCCGCCATCAACCTTGTCGCAGCTTGCTCGCTAACACTTACCAGCTATCAGAGTACGTTGAACAAGCAAACCGGCCCCGATTTTACACATAGCTTTATGAGCGACATAATGTGACATACTAACCTTGATTTGCGCACTGCGAATAGATTTTCAGAACAGTCAGTTGTCCCTCTTTCCGCCAGTGCCGACTTCGGGCGCATACTTACCCCTCCTACAGGCCCACGAGCTTTCATTACACACAATCGCTGTATTCAGGTGAACAACGCCCCGATGAAATAAAGTTCTGCACGCTCTTTGCACAAAACGACTGACTTTTTATCCCAGTTATGAGGACCGACTCTCCATGCATCGCCAAAGTATGATACTGCGACCCTGATATGCACCCCGCCACATGACTGCTTTTGCTAACTGCTTTCCCACAGAGGCCGACGAAGCCTACGTCATTGGCAAGCGAGGCCAGTACACCCCTGTCGGAGCTTATCTCGCCGGAGACGAGATTATCAAGATTGCCGTAGAGCACGGCGCTCAACTGGTTCACCCAGGTTTGTTCTTCCGCCTCTTTTTGCTCTGTAAGCCTCGTTTATTTGTTAATCAACTTCATCAGGTTACGGTTTCTTGTCTGAGAATGCTGTATTTGCCCGCAACGTCGAGAAGGCTGGCCTCATTGTAAGTTTTCGGCTTGCCTCGGCTACTACCCAATTTCTATAGCCGGAGCTTTTTTTTTTCCTTATCTCAACCTAACACTAACACTGTTCACAGTTTGTCGGCCCCACCCCAGATGTGATCGATGCCCTTGGCGACAAGGTCTCGGCTCGCAAGCTTGCCATTGCCGCCGGCGTCCCGGTCGTCCCTGGAACCGAGGGAGCTGTAGAGAAATACGAAGAGGTCAAAGCCTTCACTGATGAGTATGGCTTCCCCATCATCATCAAGGCTGCTTATGGCGGCGGTGGTCGTGGTATGCGAGTTGTTCGCGACCCCGAGAGCCTGAAGGAAAACTTCGAGCGAGCAACTTCTGAGGCCAAGTCTGCCTTTGGCAACGGCACCGTCTTCGTAGAGCGCTTCCTCGACAAGCCCAAGCA